GTAAACACAGGTGTTAGCAATGACACTAATTAAAGTTCAGTTCCATTTAGTGTATCAGAGCCTTTCCAGTAAGCCGACATGCACAACAGCCGCACCCTGACTCTGTTTGACCCGAATGGAACTGAACCGTAGTTAGTGTGTAACGCCTGTGTTCACCCTACTAATTCATTTTAAAATGGCTGCTGTGAAAAAGTTCTATTGTGAACTTACTAAATGCAACTCCAATCCAACAACAAACGGAGACCAAGAGAACCAGGACTGTGAAACATCCAAAGACAACAGCCACCACCCAGACAGGCAAACGATTCAGCACTGGAGGAGCAGGAAACGAAGAGGAGATGAAACCAGCTGTCACAAGGATGTTTTACTGGAATCAACAGGAGTGGATCAACTGTACCTTCTTTATCCAGATACCGCCTCTTGCTGCTAATGGTGTTGGTGCTGTCAAAGCTGTCTGACACTTCACAGTGGTACGTCCCAGCACTGCTCCTCCCTACAGACAGCAGCAGTATGGACTGCTCTGGAGGCTGGTTGACGACACGGTAGAAGCTTCCTTGGTCATCTAGAAGGGTTTTGTTGAGGAACCACTGGTACACTGGAAGAGATCCCTTTGCTGCCTTGCAGTAGAACCTCAGGCCGATCACAGCGTAGTTTTCTCCAACGTCATAGTCGTAGTTCATCATCACAGCCCCTCCAACCGGGACTGTTGGAGACATTACAGATCAAAAAGAAACACCATGGACAAATATTTAAAAACTAGTGTGTACCAGTGATATGTCTGCAGGTTGGAGCAGTGTACATACCAACTTCAAGAGGAATCCGCTGACTGTATTCGATCTGGTCTGTATTGTTCGCCTGGCACTGGAGGCATCCCAAGTGCTGGCCCAGGAGCAGTGGAACCTCAAATATGGTGTCTCTGTCTTCAGACGTCATACTGGCGACCAATTCTGTCCTGTTGTAAAGTGAGAAGGTAATAGGCGGAGTCCCTTTTGTTGACTGGCAGGTGACCATGGCGTAATAGTTTTGTTCATCCTTCTTTAACACGGTGAAGGAGATGTCAACGTTTGACACTCTCTCTGAGGGAATATGATGAAAGAGAATTTTATTTTGTTCAAAGAAACCATAGCTATTAAATTTGAACCTGAGAGTCTACTCATAACAGAGGACAGCTAACCTTTGACTGTGATCACAACTTCAGTGCTGTTGGCGGTGAAGAAATCTGTTTGGTTAAAGTTGTTGGTGGCGACACACATATAGGAGCCGTTGTCTTTAGAAGTAGTTCTGAGGGGACACAAATAATCAATTTCTTGTTAGAGTTAGATTTATGTTGAGATTTACGGGTACTAGTAGCTGTATATTTCCTCGTTTCCAGTCTTTATGTTTCTGACACCAACAAAAACTCCCGCTGGATGAAAAGAGCTGCAGAGATATTAACACTTATTCAGTCGATTCAATGTAGTAATGTGGTGGCAGGTGTCGAAATACAATCTCAATGGGATTCATTCCACTGACCTGTTGATCAAGAATTGGTCATTGTGGGAAGAAGACTGAGAGACAAGCTGACCATTCAGCAGCCACTTGTAGGAGACATGATTTCCAGCGGCGAGTGTACATTGCAGCTCCAGCATCTCCCCCTCAAAGAACTCCACTTCTTCTGAACGGACGACAATCCGTGCATCTTTCACTGGTTCTGAATTACAGAGTGAAATCTTCTTGTTAGTTCTTGACATTTTTATGGTCTGTTGTATTCCTCAGTCCTTACAGACATTTAGCAAACAGCCGGCTGGCATATTATCGTCTTATCAGAGTATTCTTTGCAGTCCTTCTGGCTCCGTAGGCTATGCTTTGTCATTTGTACTAAAAAGGCTAAAATATTCTGAATTCCTGGTGTTAAATTTCTACAATCCCAGTGAAATATTTTGGAAAAACCTTTCATCTGCTCCTTCCTTTATTTGACCAGATCTTATAGGTATTGAAATCTGTTTTTCAAGAGAGATTTGTTAATTTCACTTAAGATGCACACCTTACACTTCACAATAACATACCCTTTGAGAAATGTGTTTCTCATTGTGTTTGAGCTTTTACAATCATACTTATATCCCCATAATTATCTGTTACTGTTACAGGAAAGCCACGTACATACAGTATGATATATCATATGATATATTCCTGGTAATAAAGAGACTCACCAACAACCCTCAGGTAGTGTATGTTGCTGACAGTGGGCTCTATGTTGGAGTTGTTCTGCGCTTTGGCCTCACACTCCAGGTTGCCCTCGTGGTAAGGTTTGATTACTATGGGAAAGGATGCAACCTCCTCATCCAGGGAGGTGTATTCGCCCAACAACTTGTCACGGTTACCCTCCCTAGAAAAAGTTTATAATTAGAGTGCTTTTCTATCATTACTGTTACATCTTAATGCAGCGGTTAGATTTAATGTGAACTAATACTCACTTGAATAGCTGTAACAGGATAGATTCATTCTGTGGGTAACTCTCCAGTTCACAATTAAATTCAACAACACTTTTCACCAAAGCCTCTGAAGGGCCAGACAGTCGTGGATGATCCAGAAATAACTGACCTAACAACAAATGAAATACAACAAAACTGCACAAACACAAACACTCAACACAAAGAATCATGAGTTACAAAGATTATTAATTTGTACACACACTTAAACAATACAACCGACTTACTGCTGTCCTGGCTAAAGTAGCACAGCCCTGCAGAGGAAAAAGAAATCAATAGTTTCCAAGAGTTTTAAATTGGGAAATACAACGTGCACTGCTGCACGATTTGTGTTGATTAGCTTACCCAGTATGACCACAAAGAGGAAAGCAAACATTCTTCAAGAAATCTTGTTCCCTTTAATACAATTGTATACTTTGTATATAATTACACTATGCTGTGTTATGCGTTAGGAGTTTTGACAGTTGTGAATTGTGGGCTTGAAGCACTGCGGGTGAAAACACCCACACGCACTTAAAAACATGTGCAAATAGCTGATAATGTTACTCTACACCTCCCTGTCGTACCCGCCCCTCTTGGTAATATCACAACATGAATTATTTCACTCGTGCCACAACTGTCAGGGTGTTATATTTGGAGAAATGTGAATATCAAAACAACATAAAGTCAGTCACATTGAATCAACCATAATTATTTCATTGGTTTATTTGAAAAAACAACAAAACATAATTTAAAATCAGGATTTTTATTTGCAAAAAAACATGACAGTATATATTAGTTTGGCTAAAATATAATATGTTTTAATTGAATGTTCCACCAATTTCTTATAAGCGACTTGGCAGCCTTAATTCCCATCCTCGCAGATCAACAAAAACTAGGTTTAAAATGGAATATGACATGACATGATGAGGGCAGGTTCTTCCTGTGTCATACTGTGATCTCTGCAGTCTGAAACAGAGAGAGAAAACAGTCATGATGTTGTCTTCTTTATACCTGACAATTTTTGCTCCACAACAAGCCAAAATTTATTTATTATTTTATATAGTGAAAATGCAAAAATAGGACTTTTCTTCTACAGGCAAGAATACAATTACATATATATGAAAAATAAAGTTTCCAGTAATCAATTCATAATAAATTAATATTTATTTTGGTTTAAATGGAGCAGTTCTTTCAAGGAACTTACTATTTACTCTATAACTAGTAACTAAGGGTAGTGTTTATGTGCAGTGTTGTTATGTGTTCTGCAGGCCTGTATACCTGATACAGATCATCACAGTCTACTGAGGAAGCATCGGCCTGTTTGGCTCCTGACTGGGACGTGGGTGCAGACATAGGACGCGCATCGGAACTGGGAATGGAAAGCACAAATATAGTTGAACAGGTTGATCTGCGTTACTGAACAATGTAACTTTCTGAGGTCCATACATACTTTGTTGTAGTAATGTGGGCGCGAGCTGTGAAAGACACGAGAGGTGAAGGGCATTTAATATAAATTCAGTTGCAGATTTCTGAATTTAATTTCTCCTCATACACATAGTAACACACACACACCTTGCTTGTGGTCAAACATCTTGTACACACAGCCTACACCCACTGCAAGCATCAGAAAAAGGAAGCAGCAGAACGCTATGGTAATGACCTCTATGGTGGCAATGAAAACCTCTGTGGAAGAGAAGGGACAAGGCCAGTGAAGTATTACATACTGTAGAGGCAGCATGTAAGGCATTTAAATATATACAATACGTGCTGTTTACTTGGTGGTGTTTCAGTGGAAGATGTTGCTCGGGGCATGAAGTTAAGGATCCTGTCTGATCAAGAGTAAAAAGTGTGATGTGGTAAAGAGCACCACACAGAGAAGAAATTTATGAAAAGGCACACGTGAAACGTTAAGATGACTTTGGATTAAATTTAAGTATGTTAAAAGAATAGTTAAATGTTTTAACAGAAGACGTTTGAAACCACTCTTATAACTAAAGAAAGTAAATATGTAGCTGGAGCCAGCAGCCCGCTAGCTTAGCTTAGCATAACAATTTAAAACAGTTAGTCTAGCTCTGTCCAAAGGTAACAAGATCAGCCTTCCAGTTATGTTGCTCGCTTGCCCAGCTCCAGTTCTGGTGCCCATTCCAGCACCACTCGCTGGAAGAAGGGCAGAGTAGCGAAAGGACATTCAAAAGAAAACCAGAAAAACATTTTCTCCATAAAACATGATCCAGTTTCACCAAATGAGTGATAGTGTCGTGTGAATTAGTGCCATAAAGCGTTATGCACACCTTGGGGAGATTGTACCCGTTCAACCAAAGTTACATAGTGAAAGAACAGGTGTTCAGGCCACCAAGTGGGAATAATAAAGGTATCGTTCACCCTATTAAAGTCAGTTTAGCATAAAAATTATTTTGAAGCTGTCATTTTAAGGCTGAAATAGTTGCATAATGTTGCTTTAGTAAGCAGATTTTGTTTTAGACAGAGCCAGTCCAGCTGTTTTCCTCCTCATCATATCAAAAAGCATATTTCCCAAAGTGTGAGACCATTACTTTAAGATTACGACACCCTGTCATGATCTTTTCACCTGGGACTCGGACCAGCTCAGCAGCGCTCTCCACCCAGGGCCCAGAGTCATCATAGCTGTCCCTGACCCTGCAGCGGTAATACCCAAACTCCTCTGGGCCGAGTGTGGCCAGGAAGAGGGTTCGTCTATGGTCAGCTAGGGTGTAGTGAGACAGGAGAGGCTGAATACGGGAGTCCTCAAGGACAGAGTCGTTCAAGAACCAGGAGACAAAAGGGAAAGTTCCTCTGCTGATCCGACAGTTCAACCTGGCTGCAACCAGTCTGGAGTCAGCTCTGAAGAGATATTCAACCTCCACTTTCACCTCTCCTCTGACTGGGACTGGATGAACAACGGAGAGAGAATGAGAGATAGATTATCAAAGAGAGACATCACAATCACAGAAAGACACAATTCCTTCCCATGTCTGTGTAGCTCATACCCACTTCCAGAGTCACAGGCTCACTGATCAACTCCTGCACTTCAGTATTGATCTTACATCGAGCCACGCCCATGTCCAGCCCCGGTACAATGTCAACAGGGAACCAGGCAGCGATGGATTCAGTTGCTGTAACAGATCTCACTTCCTTGTCATCTAGTAAAAGAGAGATGTTGACAGGAGGACTCCCTCTTGTTGACCAGCAGGTTACGTTGCCACGGTAACTGGCTCCCTCTTTGGAGATGGAGTAAGAGACCCTTGGTTTTGAAACGTAGGCTGGTGGAGGAACAAAGAAGGGAGAAGACGGGGATGGGGATGAGACTTTAATCAGGACTGTATGGCCGAAAGTATATGAACATTGATTGTGTGCTTTTTTAGTCAGTTTAAGGTTACAGCCCACAATGGTGTTTTGGACTATTGTGGGCTGTAACCTTTCCATCTTGCAACAACACTGGCCTTTTCCTGTTTCAACATGACAATAACCCCCGAGCACAAAGCAGGTCCATAAAGAAATGGTTTTCCCTGTTTGGTGTGTGGTGTGTGGTCTACCCAGATCCCTGACCTCAACCCCTCTAACACTTTTGGGATAAACTGAAATGCAGACTAAGACGCAGACATTATTGCCTAACATCAGTGCCTAATGGGACTGTATGGGACTATATGGTGTATTTCAAAAAGGTTTGTTCCATCAATCTTGGGTCTAAAGGGTCAACTGGGTACATTCAGTAAAAGAAATCAGCCATTTGTTGTTGCCTGATGAAACCCTTTAATTTCTTCTACGTAGACTTTGGTGAATTTGGTGGCAACTAATAGTTGTTGAGCCAAAAAAAACCCAAAAAGTCAACCTAATGGTGATGCTTAAAGTCAGAGGGTTGCCCAAGTCAATAGGAATAATCCTCCTTGTGAATGTCTGTACAACATTTCATGCCAACCCATCAGTTGTTAGTATAAACCAAAATGGTGGAAAAAACAAACTTGCCATCACTGCTAGCATGGTTAAAAACAATCATGAGTTATTCAGTACCTCCACAATCTGGTAGATCTTCAATATACTTAGTTAAATTTTTTTGTTGACACATACCTTTGACCATCACCTGGACCTCTGCGCTGCTGGAAAACCTCCTGATGTCCTGCACACTGGACCAGGCCATGCAAGAATAGTACCCAGCATGCTCTGGAGTCACCTCCTCCATCACAACTTTGTTCCCAGTGAGGTGGAAGAAGGGAGAGGTTGGGGATGTTATTTCCTTCCTGTTGAAAAACCAGGTGTAGGAAAGGTGGGAGCCCCTTGTGACGTTGCAGCTCAGTACAATGCGTGACCCCTCGTATGCGACTGGGGGGAAGGGTTCAGAAGTCACTCTGGTGTTTAATGCTGGAACTAGAAGTTAGGGAAGAATGGATGGTATAGTGGTGAAGTTAGTGAATCATTTTCTCCAGTAAAGTAACCAGGATGTTAAAGATCTAACCAGAAGAATGTATTCTATGTCTGTTTGTGTCTTTGACTCACTGACTACACTCAGCTTGATGCTGTTGCTGACTCCTGTGCTTCCTCCTGCTGTCGCCTTGCAGTGGTACGACCCCTCTGATGTTGCAGTGACCCTCAGGTAAAAGGGTACAGATTGGTCCCCTTGGTAATCAGTGTCTGTGACGATGAGGTCACCACTGTCCCCCATCAGCTCGTAAGTGACTGGCGGAGTCGAGTTCGGTGCAATACACCGGAAAACCACCCTCGAACTGAGGTAGGCCATGTCAGGACCAGTCAGCACAGGGCGAAGAGAGAGCGATCCACCTGAAGAAAGAAACACTGGGAGATTCAGGAATCCTAAAACGTGCCTTTTTTTCCAAGTTTTAAGTTTAAGTTTTAGTTTTAAGTTTTAAAGTATGAGCAGATGCAGACACATTATTTTATTTCACTTGAATAAATGTTATGAGATCAAAGCACACAAGCTCCTGAATTAACAGTAGTCTTCCCCTCCTACCATATAACGCAGGAAATATCTGAACAGTTGTGAACCAGCGAGGACAAACAAAAGATCTCTCAGCAAACTAAGCTCCATATCTTAAGCACCACTTAATGAAACTTACTTATCTTGATGAACAAACTTGCCAGAGCTGAAAGAAAATGAACAACACATTTCAGTAACAATATTAGTCAATTAAATTATTTATTTATGTCGCCACTTTAAATCAAATTCAACTAACTCACCCAAAATTGGCAATGGACTTAGAGTCTGTAGATTCCTCATAGCTGTGCTCTCTATTTATCTTTGACATGGTGTTTCTAGCCCGGTTCAGTGTGTGTGCTTGTGTGTGCGTAAATACTAGGGCTGTCACACATGTGTTGCAAGTAGATAACATATTAGACATCATGTTTAGTTTAATTTTAAAGATCCGCGATGATGAACACAAATAAAGCTTTGAAAAATGCACAAACCACAAAAGTTTAATAAGCAGGATGCATGGAAAACATTCACAGTAACTGAATACAAGTAAAGTGACATTTTGGAAGACAACTAAATACAAAGACCCTCCTAGAAAGAGTAATACAATGATATTCATATGCATAAATAATTAATTTACTGAGAAAGTAAGTAAACACTGGCTATAAGCTAAGGTTAACAAATTCACAACATCCTCAAAATATCAATATAAAATATTATCAAAATAATAATAAGACTAAGATTAAGAAAATGCGTCATATGAAGGTAAAATTAAGACCGTTGAGGGAAAAATGTCAAAACTATTGCTCATCTTTGTACATCATGTAACTGGAAAAGTGAGAGTTTATCAGTATTTTCTTTTTTTTAACCTCCCCCCAGGCCTCCACCCAGCTGTGCTCGGCCAAAGCCAGTCTTTATCTTTAGGTTGAAGTCTGTGAATGGACAGGTCTGACAGATGGGTGACTTTCATCACTTTGTATGTGTGGAGGGGGGTTTGAGGTTTGCGTCGTTTCGCTGGGTGCAGAACGGACTCTGTCTGTGAGCGTTTTTTTCCGTCTTAGCATCGTGGCATGTTGTTTCACCAGGAAACGCTTATCTGAGCTGCTCTGTGAGGGAAACACATACAAATGTGTTGACACAACATGCACACAGATAAAGTAGAAAAGCATATCACACTATAACATATCTCAGTGAGAATGATTCACTTCCAACAACCAAATCAACTGGGTGTAACTCAAATATTTCCTTATCTTCTTTCTGTAACAAATGTCTAAGTATGTAACTTGTTTGATGACATGTGACCTACCATAACCAGCATGTCTTTCAGTCTCTCAATTGCCTTGTGATTGGCTCGTCCCCGTGACACATATGAGGTTAAGATTATTCTGAAGAAACAGAATGTATTTCATGTCACATTCAAAGACCAGCAGATCAGATGAAAGTACTGCATGTCATGTTATGATCATTACTTGTACATGTATGTATGCAGCTGTAGTCTTAAAGTACATTATATTTGTTTTCCTGCAACCTGGAAAAACTCATCGCACTGGAAATACAGAGCCAGTGTTTGCATAGACTCTCTTGTCTTTCTGCATACTTACACCTCAGCTAGTATGAGTGGCAGGGCGAAGGCCTCAGAGGCCAGGTAGCGGAGAGTGGTCTGTGCCGAGCTCGGGAGACTGTCCACACACAATCCTGTCACATTAAACACAGTTTTTCCATTTCCAAATGGACCACAGGAGGACCTAGAGAACCAGGAGGAACAAATGGGTGAAATGAGCAGCAAGAGAGAAAATATTAAAAATAGAAATGGATATTTCTTTCTGGTGCTAAAAGGGCAAATATATTTACTTTAATAATTTAACAACTAAAGAAACAAATAACACTGTTACACAAGTATGTTCTCTGTAAGTAAGTACAAAATGACAGTAAATGTTAAAACAGTAAAAAGAGTACATGTTATTTGGGACATCTTGCTGGTACAAGTTAATGCCCATTGTGACTGCAGCCATGAGGAGACCCAGCAGCAACATGAAGTGGAATAAAACGGAGGAGCTGGAGGCTCGAAACATCCTCTGCTCTGCAACACAGCACCGCAGGACCGTGAACTGAAGACAGACAGACAGACAGACAGACAGAAAGAGAGAGAGAGAGAGAGACAAGGTCAAACAGGGTCGCAAAGAGAAACAGAAAAAATATATTTTGATGCTATTTAACTTGCAAAACATTTCAAGACAGACATGAAGAGAGATAAAAGTTAATTTGTGAAGAATGTGAATAAATCAGCGTAGATTGTTTAGTTAGATATTTTGGAAACTTGCTTAATTGCTTTCCCTCCATTACAAGAGAAGGTGGGTACCACTCAAGTGTCAGTGCGACAGCATAGCGTAAAGACTGTAAACGGGGGGAAATGGCTCTGTCCAAAGATAATAAAATCCACTTACTAGCAACTCTAGAATTCACTAATTAACACATTATTTCTTGTTTGCTTAATCCATACAAAACAAAGTTTTGGTGTGGCAGACTTTTGTACTTGCAGAGGTGACATATACTATATATATATGAGTATTATATGATACTATATTATTAGTATATGACGTATTATTATATACTATTCTCCCGTTCCCACTTTTTACACTAAGCTAACTGGCTGCTGCTGTAGCTTTATATTTACTGTAGAGACATGTGAGTGGTACCATTTTTCTCTTCTAAGTTTTTGCCAAAAAGCAAATGAGCATATTTCTCCAAAATGTAAAAATGTATATGTTAATATAATTTAAAGTAAGTGGTATTACTACACTTGAGTTTATTCATATTATGTGTCAGGAACCTTTTTGATGTAGAACATGGCCATCAGTGTGACAGTTCCTATCAGAGGCAGCAGAGGGCAGTAGAAGACTCCCACCCAGGACACTGTCTGACTGTACACCAGATCCAAGACGTGGAATGGGATCAGAAAGTGCTGTTTCCCTGACAACCGGGCCAGCAAGGATGAGGGGTATTTCTCCTGCACTAACCTGTAAGACAGAGGAAAAATAGTTTGCACAGGAAGTAGTATAACCTTGTATTGTACAACTGAGGTTCCGTCTTTCTGTAGATTATGATGACAGTTTTCAGTTAACACCACAATGACTAATAGAGAAAGAAAATGTTTTAAAGCAAACCCACTTCCTTGGGTAGCTCAAGAAAAAGGCGTTGCAGAAAGTGGCGAGAAAGTTGAAGATGCACAGCTTGTACATCTCTCTACCAAACTTGTTCTCCCTGCACTGAAAAGGATAAGAGGCACACGAATGATAAGCGGGGTTAAAAAAAACACTCTCCAACATTACTTGGCACTTGATTAAAGCTCAGTCTGTGGGACTTTGAGTCATAACCTTCTCTCTCAACTCACTTGCTGAGGTTCTGTTGTCTTAATGACGAAGACTAAGTAGATCCCCAGTGAGGCCAGCTTCAAGAAGATGCTCCTGAAGAAAAGACTCTGAATGAGTGAATCCATGCATGTGTACGCAGGTACAATATGTTATCCTGTGTTTATTTCCCCTTACCTCACAAGCGTGACATTGACCTGCATTGTGAAAGAGTAATCTTCAAAAGATGAAATCTTGCGGAAGATGTGAGGGAGCACCAGGTTGACAAAAGTGATGGTGATGGGAGGGAGGTACTGGAGGACCAGACTGACCAACCAGTGGTGCCCACTCTAAGAAACACAGTCCAGGGTGTCACATATGAAATCTATTCACCAAATCCAGGAGAGATGTAACAAAAGCAGATGTTCAGCATCAAAGTCTCATACATTACCTCAGGCTGTGAGTTTGTCGTGGCAAAGTAGATAAGTTGGAAGGCTCCACCCAGCAAAGACAGAACGAGCAGGTTGAGGACAAACCTGAGCAGGTAGAGACGCGCCTTCTGTCCAAGTGTCCTCTGAGCCTTGCGCAGGGAGAAACTCTGCTCCTCCAGGAACAGCTGAGGGCAAATAGGAAAGAAATACAGGAGAATCTTTCTGCTGTGTCAAACATTAGAATAGCAGTATACACACAAACATAGACAAGAATCAAACTTTCCTTTAGTCAGGCATTTTCAGACAATCATAAAATGCTTAAAAGTATTAGGACATACGTTGGGGAGGTGTCTAAACTTATCTGTAAAGGCAGGAGCCGAGAGAAAATAGTACATTAATATCTCTTTACAGTGAGTTTTACATTTATATTTCACTTTTGAGCTGGTTTTACAAAAGGGTGAGAAACACAAAACAACTTTCAACCATTGATTTATAACTGAAAACAGGCTCTCTTGGAACTAAATTTCCTCATCTGCCTCTTTGCGACATTTACCGTGTCGTGTCTGTATAGGCGGGCATGCAGTATGTGTATGTGCATACATATGTTTTGGAAAAAGTTTCAACCATCCAAGATGGCAGATGGATACCATTTATTATCAGATGTAAATAAAGCTGCAGAACTGCAGAATTTCAGGTTTGATTCTAAATATAAGAATTAACACACAGGTGACAGATTAATGAAACACACTGACTAGATGAGTGGAGAAACATAACCATTGCAGATGTTTCCTTACAGGGCATTAGGATGTGAATTATAGGCTTTGACCTTAGGTGATGCATGCTGGTACTATGTGTGTGTCCATTCACCTTGAGGTCGTTTCTGATGAAGCTGCGCTTGAGAGTAGCAGAAGCAGGGTTCTGGATGGTAAAGTCCCAACCACAAAAGATCTTATAGCTCACATTCATACTGTAGCGCTTCCCGAGCATCCAGGTGTGCTTGTAGCCAACTATTGTTCTATCAAAGACAATTACAGATGAGCAGATTTAATACAAGGGAAAATGGCTATTGAAACTTTATGTTCTTCTGCACTTGTATCCTAACTGACCTGCGGACCACCATGATGAGACTGAGGAAGATGATGGTGAGGATTCCAGCCAGGTACAGCAAAGGTGTATTCAAGCACGATAAATTTAGGGAACCAGGTGTATAGAAACCAAAGAAGGCTGGAGAACGATCCAGGTAGCCCTGCAGAAAGGAGAAGAGACATTAAGAACAAATACATAGAAAACATACAGTACACACTAGAACACACAAACACAACAAACAAACACACACAAACAAACAAACCCTTACCGATCCCAGGAAGAAATCCAAAACGGAGTCATTGCCTCCAAACTTCAAACTTACTGTAAAATCACAGAACAACACAACAGTGTTTGTACAGGAGTCTACTTTGAGTGGTGGTTCATTTACTGTCGTCTCTCATTACAGCTGACTCACCACTGCTATTGCCCCTGCCATAAAAAGCTGTGGGCCCCAGAATGAAACCGCCAATGAGAGCACAGTGGAGCAGGTTTAAGTAAATCAGATATCTGAGGAAAACAAAGTAAGCC